TGGAATTTGAGCTGTAAAATAATCATGGGACAGGTATTGAGGCTTGCTGCCCCATTGAACAGCACAGAAACCATGCGTCGCAATCATAGTGTTCTTTTTCCCTATCCTTGTCCTTCCTTTTTCCGTTCCTCTTCCTTTTTCCTTTTCATTTTAATGTTTCCCTTTCCTTGTTCTTTTCCTGTTCCTTTCCTTGGCCGTTTTTCGTGTTCCTCTTCCTTCTCCCTTTCTTTTTGCCTGTCCTTTTCTGTTATTCTTCCTTTTGCTATTCATCTTTTCCCTTTCCTTTCCCTTTCCCTTTCCCTATCGTTTCTTTTCCGCTTCCCTTCTCCTGTCCCCTTGCCCTGTCCTTTTCTGGCAACAAAGGAATTAGAATGTCACTAAAGTCACCTCGCTTGGCATACCTACCTGTATGCTTTTCGTTTTCCATTTCCTTGCCCTTGTCCTTTTCCTATCGTTTCTTTTTCCTTGCCCCTTTTCCTTTTCCCTTCCCATTTCCCTTTCCTTGTCCTTTGCTTTGTCCGTTTTCGTTTCCTTTTTCGCTTCCTTTTCCTTTTGAGCTTCGTTGTTTTTGAACTCAGTCTGACAATTTGAACCCTTCGTTGAGCCTGTCACACTGGAGTTGGAATTGGAAAATGGTCATGGTCATGGGAGTCATGGGACAGGTGTTGAGGCTTGCTGCACCATTGAACAGCACAGTAACCATGTGTCACAGTGTTCTTTTTCCTTATCATGTTCCTTTCCCTTTTCCGTTTCTGCGCCTTTTCCTTTTTTCCTTTAATTTTAGTTTTTCCGTTTCCTTTTCTTTTCCTGTGCGTTTCCTTGCCTCTTTCCTGTTCCTTTCCTCCTTCTCCTTTCCGTTTCGCTTGTCATTTTTCTGTTCCTCTTCCTTTTGCTTTTCCATTCTTTTCCTTTTCCATTTCTTCTTCCTTGTCCTTTTCCTTTTCCCTTTCCCTTCTCGTGTCCCCTTGTCCCTCCCCCTTTATTTGAACAAGGCCGTTGGAATGTCACTGAAGTCACCGATGCACAGATACTCACATCAACACGTAGACACATACACGCAGATGCTGTGGTTGTGTGCTGTGGTTGTGTTTTTGCGTTTGTGTGCTGTGGTCGTGTGTTTGCCGTTGTGTCTTGCGGTTGTGTGTTGCGCCCCTGCGGTCTGGCGCTTGCGGTTGGGGTCCGGTGGTGCCCACTGCGACCTTGCGCTATCTTTTTTTAGGGGGCCTTGTCGCTTTACATCAAAGCAAAGGATGGGGTTACCGTAAGTGCTGCTGTCCCCAGCTCGCAAAACAACTTTCTTCCCACCTGCCAGGTGAGGGCGAGGGTTGTTATAGTAAGTTCCAAAGTCTTTGCTGGGGACCGTGGCCTAGACCCAAGTTGGATGTAAAGACGGTAAGGTTGGCAATGGATAAAAAAAGTAATACAAATGTCAAGACAGTGAGCCAGAGCGCGCGAATTTCGATGTTTTTTGACAATTCAGGGGATATCTAGGATCCTTTTTTAGCTTTGCCCAATGTCAAGACTGTCGGCGAAGGCCTTGAAACACACAGAGAACTGACCAAGCTAGTGCTTTTGTGTGCGCAATTTGTGGGGGGCATCAAGGATCCTCTACTAGCGTCTCATAATGTCAAGACTGTAAGCGAAAGAATACGAAGAGCTACTATAGACAATAGAATCCACTATATGTCAGCTGCCTTCCTCCTCCTCCTCCTCCGCCGCCGCTCCTCCGCCAGCTCCGGATGGCAGCGTTCCCCGCCGAACCGCTAGCGGCTAGCTGGCAGTGTTCCGGACCTCAACCGCGAGTTCCGCTTGGCAGCGTTCCCCGCTGGACCTCAACTGCGAGGGCCGCGTGGCAGTGTTCCCCGCCGGACCTCAAACACCAGCTCTTTGTATATAGATTACCATGTGTTCTCTGTGACTGTCTTGTTGGGTGATAACTTGAATGAAGTGCATCTGCTTGCAAGAATGTTAGTCACATGATGTCACATGTGACAATTATGATTGTTTTTACAAGTAGCCATGACATGAAGCCGGGATGTTTCACAGTAGTACCAACTTTTTGCTCTAGAATCTAGAAACAACAAATGCGGCCTGATTATGTGCATTACTTTCATGTTATAGTGGATTGAAATGTCATGGTGCGGATTTTTTGAAGGGACGTAATTTTGGAATCCGTCGCCAGTGTTCCTTTCTTTTCTCCTCTTTCTGCACCAGCCGGGACTACACTGGAAACTTACTCAGACGCCAAAGTAAAATGTACGAAATAATATATAGAAAGAGCGATCGGAAATACAACGTGTTGACAGCCACGTTGCAACATGATAATGTTGTCGTGGAAAGACACGCAAAGCTGCAAGCGCACTGAGACTGGTGCGGTCAATGTTTCCAGCAAGACTTGGATAAAACATGATAAACAAGTTTGAACATCATGCTTAAACAATGATTCAAGTTCCTGTGGCAAAGAACACGTACATTCGCAAACCAACCAAAACGCATAGCAAACCAACGTGAAGGAGAAGTCCGAAGCGCAGTATGAGTGAGAATAAGAAGTAGGGAGCGTAGAAGCCGTAGACCAAAGCTGTGAGAGGTATGGGGGAATGCTGAGAAAAGATGACCCCTGCGTTAAAGGGGGCCCTGGTGGGGGCCCCCCTCAATTAATATAAAAAACTAATTGAGGGGGGCTGGTACCGTGTTGATGAATATTTATCGACCCTAGGTAGGCCCTCGATTAATTTTCTATAGGCTTTGCTTGGGCCCCCCCCTAGACACACAGCCCCTAGGCGACCCCTCAATTATTAACTTTTAATCGACACACGAAAACATACAAAGAGTACAACAAAAAGCCAACAACAAAAAGTACAACAAAGGCATGATTAAGAACACCCTG